ACAGTTAAGGGCATGGAATGGAATGGGTTTCCATGGGAGGTGGCTGAAGCCCCTTCAGTGAAGGTGTTTAAGGATAGGCTGGACATGCACATAGTAGGCATGTCGTGAATGAAGCCAGCTGGAGCCAGGGGTCAGACTAGATGGCTCAGGAGACCCATTCTGACTCACTCTGTTTCTGTTTACTGAGAAAAAACCCCATAGCATTTCATGGCTGTGTCTCTGGCAAAACTGCACAGGATTTTTGAGGCTCATACCACACATTCCTTGTAAACCAAGCTGTTGTTTAATTTGAAACTGCACTGGTTGGTTTCATTATTACATTTGTGGTTTGCTTGCTGGATAGGCCATGGTAGCTTTTACAATACAATAATTTAGTTAAAGTCTAGATTGTCTTTGATCTAATAAAATACAGAACTCTGGGAGATGAGAATGTTGATTGAAACTGTCAGAATCCCGGAATCTCAATTTGAGAAGAGGAAATAAAACTCGGGTTCATGGGAAAGACCAAGCGTCCAGACCATCTGAGGCTTTATTGTATTTACCCCAAGGTTCCCGCAGTACTCATGATAATGCATGCATTACCGGGCAGGCAGAGATGAACTCTGCTGCAAAACTTCAACACAACTAGAGAGTTTTTATACACTCCCAGTCACATACAGGTACAGGGCAATTGATGACAGAATGTAGAGATTACAATAAGATTCTGAGGTCATTACATAAGAACAGATAAAGAAATGTCAGTCAATCACACAGTAACAATGAGATTACAATATTTCTAATTGCCTGTATTGACACTTTAGTTCAGTAGCTTGAACCTATCTCCAGGTCTGCTTGGACAAGTAAATTCAAGCTACTGAAATTATGCATGAGCTCAAGACTCTTATCTAGACTCTAACATTCTGAATTGGCCAGGGCACATGGAGCCTCTGGGCTATCAAAAGATACTTCCTTGTAAACTGAATTCAAACAATGACTATTTACAATGTATATTTGGACTGAATGGCCTGTCTACTGTAGCCCACAGCTAAAGGTGAGAGAAAGGAGTGGGGGAATGCCATTTTAAACAGTGACTGCTTGATTTTTAGAAGGAAAACAGGATTTGATCCCACAATGCAAAAAAGCACACAGAAGTAATGCTTTTCAGACAGGATTTATTCAAATTTTCCCAACAAAACTTAACAATTTGTTACTGTTGCTTACATCATGTAAAAATTGTTGGTATTTTTACTTTACAGTCCATTTTTATTCCACACGAGGAACCCAAAGTAGTTTAAAAGGCTCTCTTCCTTTTCATCCTTACCACCTTGAGAGTCAGTGTTTGGCCCAAACTCACTCTGGGAGCTTCAGGGCTGAATGAAAACTAGAACTCGGTGCTTCCAAGTCCCAGTTCAACCCTCTCTACAGCATTGAAGCAGACTTCACCGCAAGTTTTTAGCTATGGGACTTTATGAAGACCCTCTGCACTCACTAATTCTTATTTCTGAGTACATGTAAGCATTATTGGACCCGTGAACAAGACAGGGACGTGTTTTGTGTTGTTTCGTTTTGAGACGCAGCTAACTAAATGATGGTCGGGGGGAAAGGGACTCTGGCCGGAGAACAAGTGCTGTTGCAATCCTGCCTACACACTTGACTTTGGAGTAAGTCGTATTAAACTTCTAAATGGGATCGCGCTACAAGGAAAAAGGCAGATTATGTAGGAGAGAGCGCAGATGAAAGGTGAAATTCTAATCCCACCTTGTACCGATGTTAACCCTATTTAAAGAGCTAAACCCAGACCCAAACCCTGCAGAGAATCGGGCTTCGAGTTTAGCTTACTATATCCAGTTTGCCCCTTCGCTATGGGGTTGCTCTACAACTCCCATGAACCGTGGCTGAGATTGATGGGAGTTACACACAAACCCCATCACGGGGGTGTGCTCCAAGTTGGGAAAGGGGAGTTCGGAGTTCCTCATGGGAGAAAAGACAATGACGAATTTAGCGCCTGAGGTTAGGGAGGTAAGCTGTTCCACCTGGAGACAACAAATACAACCCCCCGCCCCGCTGAAAGCGGCACACTGCATTATTTTTTAATTCGAACGCTGTAAAACATTCGAATGAGCGGTCATTATACATAATTACAAAGATTTTTAATATATACCGTGGGCTTGTTTACTTAGTCGCCTGTAGAACAGGGCGCTAGATCGCAGCCTGAAGGTCTCTGCCCGCGGGCAGCAGCAAAACGAACCCAAAACCGGTCTGGTGTCCGCCTCCACACCCGGCGGGATGAAAAACATAAAAGCACTTCTAGTGAATGTCTGTTACAAGTTGAACGTTCCTTCAAAGTCTCCATTGGTCAATTTTTCTACATACCTCACTCCAGTTTCCACCAATTAGAGCGTTCCGCGCCTTTTTTTAAAAAAGAAAATTGTTCCACTATATTTTTCCTTGCGCATAAACAACGCGAAGTAGTCCCTTCAGCTTTCTCTAACAAACTATTTCTGGGATTTGCGAGATACTTCTACTTTCAATAGAAGAAAGAGAACAGCGGACAGGAAGTGGGATTCTTCCCTTTCAAGGAGCTGCGGAGGGAAAGACGGAGGACATTTCCCTTGGCGGAGGGATATGAGACGGGGATGGAAGCGGCCAAGCATTGCAAGGCGATTTGAATAAGTGAACGGAGAGTACCCGCGCGCGGGTTTGATTCGCAGTTAGCGCGGTCCTCAGGCAGCCACTGGGGACAGAGGGGCTGCGTGTCCGGCACACGGATGACGAGGAGGTGAGAGGTGCGTTTGCTACGCGCGCATGTGAGAAAGGTTTGGTCGGAGTCGAGAGTTGGGGATGGCGGGGCTTGGTGCGGAGGGGGCGACCCCGCCGCCGTACTTGGCTGTAGAAGGCAAGGGAAGTTTGCGGAGTCAGGAAGGAGGCACCTGGCGGAGCTTCTTCGGCGGTAGCTGCCTGGAGATGCGCCGTGAATGGGGAGATTGCAGTCCGACTTGGGCGGGGAAGTGGGCAAGTGAGTGGTGGTCACATTGCCACAAGGGGAGCTGCGGTGGGAAGGCGAGAGAAACGCCGGCGGAAGTAATTACTTTATTGTGGGCATTTCGCGCGGGTTGACCACGTGAGGACCGCTGCGAGCAGAGAGCTGTCCACAGCACTAGTGTATGCTTAGGCGAAAGCTGACACCTCAAGACCGCCTTGCACTAAGCACATAGGCACAAGATATTTAAATGTGCTTGTGTTGTTGGTTTTACTGCAAGTATGGGTTGAGTCGGTGGGTAAAGGTTTAATGTATACCATATCTATGAAAGGCACTGAGGTTTGGACAAAATTGTAGCGTCTTTCGTGGTAGGATACAATATTTTTGTACGCAGTAATGGCCAGTTGCGGGGAGTCCTGAAATTTATGGCAATTGTGTTTGGTCATATCTTTTTGGGGATAGTAAGAACATAATAGTGACGCAGGATCAAGCCAAGGGTCCCTCTAGTCCAGGTTCAGTATTGCCTCTGATACTGGGTGTAGCCTGTCGCCAACAGTGGCTTTATTCTCCATTAATTTTCCCAGTACCCTTTTAAAGCCACCCAAATTGGTCGTCATAACTACATCTGGTGAAAGTAAATTCCACAGTTTTAACTGGCTTGCAGTTCCTAGAATTTCCAAGCAAGCATGGCTGGCTGTTGAGTGCACAGAGTTACATGTTTCCTATCTAAGCATGCAAAGCATTGCACCCTAATTGAGTTGGAAAGCCTGTTATGTGGCTTCAAATTTTTAAATATATAAAGACAGAGTTTATTATGTTTGAAGGTGATTTCATTGCATTTTTTCTACATAGATGACACTTCCTTTTATGGAAATTGTGTGCAAATAAATTATATGTTGTAGTGTTATAATGCATGGATAGTTACTGTAAAATAAACATGGTGTTATTCTTCAGACATGGCATGCAATTTACATGAGAACCAGTGCAGTCTAGTTGGTATCTGGGAGATTTAAGTTTTAGTTGGCACTTGGCTGCAAAGCTCAATAGGTCACTTTGGACTGGTAACTGACTCTCAGTGTAACGATCCTTACAGAGTTGTGAGGATAATATTACAAGGAAATGGAGAATTACGCAAACTGCCTTGAGTTTCTTGGAGGGTAAAAAGCAAAATTTAGTGGGGGAAAAATTGCAAACACATTCCTGCCTGTTTGTGAAAATATAGAAGCTTCAGGAAATGTCAACAAATAAAAACTTCCAAACATATTTTTATGATGACTGTTTTTTAGAATTTTCTAGTATTTAGAGGGGGGGAACCCTTGATTGGAGGTGAATAAGGGCAAAAAAGTTAAAATAGATCACTGCCTCCAAGAGACATATTCATATACTTTAGGTTCGATTTAAGTGTCTAGTAACTAAGAACATAAGAGCCATGCTGGATCAGACCAAGGATCCATCCAGTCCAGCATTCTGTTCATGCAGTGCACATAGGGCCCCACAATTAGGATGTGTCTGCAGCAGTGCCCTTTTGCCTAAGATTCCTAGCAATTGGTGTATATAGGCACTGATACTGGAAATTACAGATATTTGTTATTGACTGTTTATGTGCAAGAAATACTTTTATCTTCCTAATTACTGTAATTGGTCTTGGTTAATAGAAGCTAAAAGGGGGGTATTTCTACCCATAAAACTTGTGACTTTGGTCCTATTGAAATTAATGTGCTTTTTGAAATGACATAAGCAAAATTCGCAAAATAACCAGGTTGTAGATACAGTAACATTTCTAAATGGGTTTATAAATTAAGACACAGTGCAGTTCTGTTAATAAATGCATGTATATGTTCAAGGCCTAGTCTTGATTTTTATGGGTTTGTACATAGTTATAATTGCAGTAATAGCATATTGTGTGATTCTTTATGAATATTAGAACTTTAGGAAAGCAGTCCTTTCGATGTAATAGAGAATGCTGACTATGCATGGTTATTGAATGGAATTTTGTAACTTTTGTGTACAAACTTTACAGGCAAAGTATGCAAATGAGAACATGCCACTTTTTGGGAAAATCGTTGTCATTAAAAGAAGTGGGAGTGATGGAACTCATTTTCCACTGACTACAAACTCTTGTTTGTTTGGACGGTAAGTCTTTGCAATTTTGGAAAATGATGCTTTTGTACATCTGAATGTCATTATGTAACTTTCTTGTAAAAATAACTAATAACAATTACCTTTTCATATAGCAAAACATAGAAAATCAAATTTGCATATTGATTGAAATTAAAAGTTCTTTTTCCACAGCACTATCTATAAACTTTTAAGTGGAAGTTTAGCTGCTGCTAATGGGTATGGCCCCTGACAGGATGTCCAACCTCTCTAAGTAGTCCTCTCTTAGATGTCCAACCTCTCAACAGTGAAGACAGAATTCACTGTTAGAGAAAGTTTTGGGGGACACATTCCAGTAGAAGACATAGCCAAAGGCAAAATGAAGTAGATTACAGATTAAGCATATTCTAACTTAAATGCCCTACTCCTGTTAAGTAAGCCTTAAATGAGGCATTCTAACCCTTTAGAATGGGGAAAATATTTTAGGAAAATTGGGTAGTTACCAAAGTGGTTGTAGGCAACTAGTTAACCCAGATGGCCACATCTGATGTGCAAGTATGACCTTTAATAACTCTGATTTATGCAGTGCCAACACAAAAACGCTAGTGGGTTTTACCAATTAAATTTAGGAATATAGATTGAATTCAGACAATGTTTGAAGACCAAGTAAAATCAGACCACTTTGGCTCTGTTTTGTTGGATCCTCTGAAGCTGTTTCAGAATGAAGCTTTTCTAGTAACTTGTATTTAAGATCTAATATGTTCGCAGAGACTTTTGGCTTTATTTCTCTAAGTCTGGCAGAAAGACAGTGTGACTTAGCCTTCTAGCTCCCTAGCACCTGTACCTATCCTGTGTCTTTGCAAATGCATGCCATTTTCATATAAATTGACCAAAAAAAATGCCTGCTGGGTTGGGGGTGGGACAGGAAGGAAGGTAAGCGAATCATGCATACTCTCCTACCATATGAACTACTACATTCATCCTTCCAAAACTTTGCAAGCTTCTTACTTAGGGACACCTTTGGGATTTGTGTATTTTTCAGAATGTTAGTCCTTAAGAAATATAGGGAGATGAATGTCCAATTAGCTGTTGCATGAGGCCCTCAGCACGTATTGCTCTGAAATTTGGTAGGCTTGATTCTACAGAGATAACCATACCCACCATTTTCACTCAATTCTGTACAGGAATAAAAATGTTCTCATAATTTTTTGAAAAAAGAAAAGAACACATGTAGCACAAAAACACTTGTAAATCTTTCTGACACTGGATAGGCATAATCCTCTTCTACAGGTTACTGTGCTTGTAGCTATAATCCAGTTTGGATCAAGAGAGAATGAATATAGGAAGCCTCTTTATTGTTTATGTATCACTTTTCTGATCCTTGGCACTGTTTCAGTACTGAAAATTAGCTTAAGCAGAAGGGAGCTGTTTTCTGACATGCTTTATTTGGGTCTGAATCAAAAAAGGGATTGATGCACATGTTATAATACTACATAGGTAGTTTTCAAGAGGTTTTTTAACAGTAATACCATGGTATATATATAGAAGGAATATAGTTATTGTATTTGCAAATGTAAACCTGAAAATTGTGTGGTTGTATTTAAAGGAAAAAGGAATGTGACATTCGAATCCAGCTGCCTCAGGTTTCTAAAGAGCACTGTAAAATTGAAGTCAATGAAAACAAGGAGGTACGTAATTTTCAATATTTCTATTCTTAGCATAAATTATATTTTTATTTAAAACTGTTTAGGATGCTGTTAAGGATAGGACCATTACAGGTGTTGATATCATTGGTGTTGATTTGATGTGGATCTCATTTATCCTCTTTTAGTTGAATAAGCTTATTTTTTGCTTTGCTTTTAGGCAATTTTGATTAACTTAAGTTCTGTAAATCCAACACAATTGAATGGAAGTAGCTTTCAAGATCCTGCAGTCTTAAAGCATGGAGACGTACTGACTATTATTGACCGTTCTTTCAGGTAAGTACAATGATATATATATATACACACACACACAAACAGCTGTGTGTCTATTAGAGCTGGAGCTTGGGTTTACTTTTTTCAACCTCAGTAATCCATACTGTCAACCAGATGCTGTTAAGTATGAAGTGTGGCGGAGAGCTTTAGGGAACTGCTAAACTGCTTGGCTTTTTAAAGACAGGGAAAGCCAAACTAAGGAGAAGAGCAGTGGAAAGAACATGTTAAGTTATAGATAGCTATGAAGGCAAGGAGGAGTGAAGCTCAGAACACATCTGAAAAGCATGACAAAAAAGTGAAAAGTTAAAGAGGAAAAAAGCAAGTTTTATATTTGATTTTGAGTAGTGGTCATGGGGATTGTTAGGGGTACTCTATCTATTCCTCCTCCCCAACACTTTCTGGTGATTATTTAGCATAATTTTATTTATATTTAGTAAACTGAAGAACTTCAAATATGTGGTCACTGTTAAGCAATTAAAATTTTATACTAATCAAATAATTCTTATCCTTTAAAAGATTAAGAATAAGGTAAATCTGACATTGATAATTTACTGTATTAAAATTGAAATTAATAAGTAAGCTTTCCAGTGATGCAAGTAATTGGACGGCATACAAATTTTATAAATAAATAAGTTAAGATTTTGACAAACTCAGTAATTGTGCTACAGTAAATATGGGATAGTCCAGTATAGCCTGAAGTGTCACATTCTGCCTAAATTTGGAAACTAAGCAGGGTCAGGTCTCATTAGAATCTGGATGGGTGACTTGAATATATAATTATTGTTGTAAACCGCCCAAACTTCTTCAGCTACAGGGGGTATAGAAATGCAATAATAATTATACTTACCTACATTTTTAACAGGTTTGAATATCCACCTTTGTCATATCCACAGAAGAGGCTTTCCAGATCTCAAGAGAAGGAAGCATTGCAGGTAACTTCATGACTATAGTAGTTATACCTTCATATTTTGTTGCTTGTTAACTAATAATACCAATAGTCAAGTTTTGATGTGACTTTATAGCCACCCATCTAGCCTTCTGATAAAACATAGAGAATACAGAGAAGGAACAGAATTGGTTTATAATTTCATGCTAGGCTTTGGAGAAGAAAGGTAATAGGTGAGACTTGTGTTGTTTCTCTCTGTACTCAGTGCAACATTAGAGGAAATAGAAAGACTGAAGTCTAATCTTAGTTCATATAGTCAGGGATGCAAAACCTCCTGCCCTTGGGTCTAATCCATCCTGTGCAACGTTTTGGAGTTCCTTCAGGGGGTGGGGTTAGAGTCCAAGCTTAATGCTCTAGGAATAGAGTGAGGATTACGGTGGAAGTCCTACGACTCATCCGTGTCAGGGAGAGCAGCTGCTACCCCTATGCTGGCAAATCTCGATGGCCATCAGTCTTTCTGTTTGGTCTGATCTAAACTCAAGAATTGCAGTGGGAATGATAAGCACTGGGTTTTGCTTGCCCACATCTTTTCTGCAGTGGGTGAAAGAGGTAGGGGAGGTAAAGCAGTTATACCTCTGAGACTAAAAGGGGCTCAACTGCATCTTCTTTGCATGCTCTGCTTCTTCCTATGGGGAGTGGGGGAGGCATGCAGAAATGAGTTAGAGCTGAGCTACCCTATATTGTTCCCCATTGGGAAGCTCCATGTGTAACAACCTAGACCCTGGACTAAGCAATGGATAGAATACCCACCCAGTACTTGGATAGGGAAGTAAATGACAGCAAGTAAGTTTGGCCATTTCCAGGAGATACCATCCAAATTGCAAAAGGCCCTCCTGGTACTGGCTTTGGGTAAGGTAGAAAGGTCTCATTTGGCCTTCATATATCCATGTAAAATATAATATGTTGCCTTATCTTTCATCCTATATCACTCTATCATAGAATATTTTAAAGTCAGTTGTAATTCTAAGAATAGTAGCTAGTAATCACTAAGTTGACTGAGGATTATTCTAAACGAATTAGGCTAGTAAAGGGTGCAGGGTCTAGTAAAGTTTTGTTGGGGTAAAGGATTGAATTGGAACACTGTTATATTTCGATTCTTTATTCCAAAAAGGAACCAGTGCATATATGTTTTATAAACACAACTTCTAAGTCCATTGTTCTGCTACACTTTTGATGACGTTTCAGATTCTTCATATCCAGCAGGTAGATCAGAAGGACTTATTGCATATTCAGAATTCAGAATATGAAAGTTCTGAAAATCCTGGTTAGTACTGCTTTCTACTTTTCTTTTTACAGAAATGCATCATTATATTGATTATTAATAAGGATAAAATACATTTTTTATTTTCTCTGAACTACGATGTTTAGACTTTACATACAGGTGACTCTTAGATTATATTATAGTTGATAGAAGCATTGGTTAATATATTTGTTGATATAAATGCAGACCATTGCATAGTTTTAGAATGTTTTAGAAAGAATGTTGACTCTGTTCGTAGTACAGGCAGTTGTTGGGTTATGAACAAGTTCTGCTCCTGAGAACATTTTTAAGTTGAATTTGTATGTAAGTTGGATCACATATTGGTTGTACTTAGCATGAGTAACCCAAAGGTTTGTCTTAGTATAAATATGTATTTTACCTTTCTGTGCATATAAAACACTTGAGAAATACTTGAATATACAGTCAGCCCTCCACATTCAGTCATGGTGTGTTTACAACTAGGTAATAGTTGCAAATACTCAGGTCTGTTCCTTTTAAAGAGTAGTTTGGGCTGCCACTTCAAAACATCAAGTAGCACTCTTTCACACAAGTCGCATTAAACACATGCTGGACTCACCTAGCCAAACCATGCTTGTCAGCCTTAATTAGCTACAAATGACAGGGTTTGAGAGGACACAGCAGATTGTTAGCATCTTGTCCATATCATCAGGCCACATTGATTGAAACTCATTTGGATCTGCCATAACTGTAGTAACTTCCTTCATGACTTTATCTTTGGAGGGAGCAAGGCTCTGAGAGATCTAAATAAGCAACCTCCAAGCCATGGATGCATGCTAAAGGAACTGGATTCTGGTAATTTCCCAAAACTTCTCATGTATTGGCTATTCAAAACATGGCAGCAAGAGAAGCAAGCAGAGAAGGATTTGCATCCTCATGGTGGAAAGAGTGTCTGAACAAAACTTTGTCATTATTAAACCCTGATCCTTAATCTTTTTTCTACTTTTCTAACAGTACAGTTCCATCTCTTTTTAGGATCTTTCAGTTAATCTCTAATGTAAAATCAGAAGCTGCTAATTCATTATATTTATGTGATACTTGGTCAAAAAACGATTTGCTTTCTGGTCAGAATCTTGTCTGTGTGGAATTAGAGTAACATTCTTCTCAAGTAATACAAGGTCTATGGCAAAAATACACATGTTTATGTGTTTTAACAATTTTCTTGTGTAAAAGGGTATATTTTTGTATCTTCTTATAGGGATTCTTGAATGGGAAAACAAATCTAATGATAATGTGAAAATAAGAACTCCAGAACATATTACTGGACAATATGGCACTCTTAAATCTATGTATAAAGCATGCAAATCCAAAAGAAAAGATGAGATGTCTCCTTTTAGCAAACTTTATGAATTAACGAAGAATGAAAGTGGTATAAAAACTGCAGAGGAATATATCTGTAATGAGACATGCGTAGAGCAAAGAGAATATTCATCGAGAAAAGATGATATCTTGCTGGAAGTTGCATCTCATACATCACATAGAAGATCTGCAGCTGATCAAGCTGAGATGGAACGAATGATTTTGAAGAAGAAAACAGAGCATTCCAGAGATATTAAAAATCAAGTGATCCACAGTTTGAAATCAAATCCAATATCTTTTGAAGAAAACAACTCATCTGCAGACCTTCAAAGCCATATTATAAACCAGAAACGTGAAAGAGAAGGCATAAATCAGTTAGAATACCGTGATACACAAGAAAATGCATTGGAAAAATCTGCAGTAATTAATTCTAGTAACAATGCTAATGATTCATTTTCTAAAACAAACAGACAACATGCGAAACATTTTCCTGAATTATGTTGTATTGTGTCATTGGACTATGCAGATAATGTAAATCACCCTGAAAAATTAGTAGAACAACCCACAGGGATAATAGCTGATGCAGAAATCAAAACAGACACTTGTGGATCTATGGAAACTGTTTTGCCCACACCAAAGACTAATGGAGAGAGTTTTCAAGCAAATTTGAATTCATGTTATAGAAGTACCAGGCGTTCTTCAAACCTACAGGTTGAATTAGATTCATTGACTGAAATGAAGAGCTCTGCAGAAAGCCCTGCTGTAATAGAGAAGTGTTCAGTGCATGTCAGTACAGGGGAGCATGAATATGATCTGATTGAAAATAAATATTCTAAAGCAAAGGGTAATAATCAAATGTCAGCTTCAGAACCAACACAAATCCTGAAAGAAATGAGAAATGAGAGTTGTGCAAATTATACCACCAAAGATGGAAGAAATACTACTAGTTTACTTTACTATAGTAATGGGAAAAGCCTCAGAAGGAGTTTTAAACAAGACAAAGATTTTTCAAATGGAAGATCTTTTATACAGGAGATACCCACAGAGGGGCCAGACTCTTCTCCTACAGAGAGAATAACACCTAAGCAGCTTCATTCAGAAAATGGTGGAAACTGGCCTCAGGAGGTGAATATAGTAAAAGGACCAGCCACAGACAGACATGAACAGCACATGGACATGAAAAATATACCAGCGCTTTTCAGCATAACAGATAGTGGTCACAAAAGCAGTGATCAGATTCAAGCTGGGAATGAAGCTGTTTCAGAAATGAATGTGTCCAACCCATTTAGTGTAAAGAGAAAGTCAGGTAAATACTTCCAGGACTAGTCCAAAATCATACTTTTGAAAATGTTTGGGAAATTCTTATGGTATCTTTTCCTTTTTCCCAATAGGTTTGCAAATTTTCACCTTTTAGATAACGTTTTTCTAAGTCTGTTAATCACTCCCTGTTCATTAAACTCATTTGAATCCCACGGTATTGATGCATTGAAGGATTCCAATAGACTTCATTAGACTTCAGTCTTCATGAGACTTCATTCGAACTCTTCTTTCAGATTATTTGCTTATTCAGTACAACTAAAAGAAAAAAAATCAACAGAAGCGTGCTTTCTGAAAAAATGACTTTCTTATTGGAGGAAAATAATACCTTTGGAATTCAAATAATTTCCCTTTTGTAAATTTATTCACAAAGGATAGAGATTTTCAGAGATTTGTTAATATTAAAATAGCCCTAGTCTGAAATTAATTTGTTGATTGAGCATATAAGATTGTATGTGTGTTTATTCTCTTACAGTGGTTAAAAAATCACCTCAAAAACGCAAAGGTAAAGAACCTGATTTATTAAATCAGCCACCTGGAAAGAGAAAAAGAGTATCCTTTGGTGGTCAGCTGAGTCCTGAACTATTTGATAAACGTTTGCCTCCAAACTCGCCACTTAAAAGAGGGGCCATTCCAGCACGACTGAGCTTGCCATTTGGAAACTCTCCTCGAGCTGTTCTGAAAAAAGTTTCAGGAGTCAGACATTCAGTAATGAAGGTAAATAGCCTCCTGGTTGTAAACTATGAAAAGTTTGTGAGACAGGAGTATATGTGTAAGACTTTAGAAATCTCAACACATAATTTTTGAAAAAGTTGAATCATAGACAAATTTTGCATTTCAGATCTAATTCAGAACTCAACAGGAAATTCATAAGGTTTTTTGGCTAGCCCATAAAATAGTACTGTTTGTTTTATGGAACTGAAATGTATAAATGCTTGATTTTATTTATACGATACCAAATACTCCTTACTAGATAGAAATGGAGCAGAAAACTATTACATTAGAAGTACTTGAGTATGTTTTTTACCTATATAGGGGAAAAACTAAATTGAAAACAGAAATCATAAATAATGGTAAAAACTTGAAGTCCATACCATACTGTGAGCATTATGCAGAAACTGACAAAATAATACAAAAAATTGCAGCATCTGTTTAGCATAGGTAACCACATTTAGGTATGTATCAGAAACAAGGGATCTATTTTGGTTTTTTCTTTGGAAACCCAAGATCCACCAGTTGAGTTATTATAAAAGACACTCTTAGAATGAAAGAATTCTGAGTCTAGAAATTTGCTTTGGCTATTAGAAGTTAATGGAATTTTCAAAATCTATACTCTTCAGGTTTTTTTCATTTCAGCAATATAATTTCAAGAGGTACCCATGTTTTTATTTAAACGGAAGTAAGCAATCCTTGCTGTTCTACTGCAGATCTTCCAGAATTCTACCACTACCTACAAATTAATTGTTTGTCATTGTTGAGATGTCTGTGTGTTTGCATGAAAACATTACTTTTTAATATGTTTTAAAGTAGCAGGCCACAGTGTTAGGGAGTATCAGTAATTCTAAATAATAAATTAAGCTTCGTAATATCATGGAATTCCTGAACATTGAGCTGTTCTCACACACATTGTTACAGTAATTATGTACAAAATAAATACATTAAACCCATTCCCATGCCATTTAAACAAAAAAATATATATCTTTTAACAGGCTATCCTTTCTTTAGCCTGAGTCAATTTTGTTATAATAGCTTCTGGTCCATAATCTTCAGAAAGTAATTTTGCATAGATTAAAACCAGCTTTTCTACTTTTTAAGGTTTTGTTTGTTACAGATACCTGTGTCCCAATTTTCAATATTTAAATCCTTCAGAGGAAGTTTACAAGGAATATCGAAGTATATAATTAAAACTCACAGTAAGCATTGATTGGGTTCTGATTGATGCCTCAGTTAAGAGTAACTAGCCAAGATTTTTTTAAAGGCTCTGAATAGAGGAAGGCTAGGACAATAGACTGGAAGTAGATCCATGTGTTTTCTGTACAGATTTCTTTAGTGAGATGCAGCTTTAATAAATGCCACCCACTCAAAAACCCTCACTGGTAATAGGGCACTTAGCTATTTACATAAGATGATCCAAACTTTACTGGCTTCTTGTATGCTTTTGTGTAGAAAATGGGAAACAGGCTGCCAATCCTGGTATCTTCCTTCCCAACAACATTATATAATCCCATGGTAGATACAGTTAGATGAAGTACTAATGTGCATGAAAATTGAAGCTACTTATTTGCTGGACAGTTCTTGAAGTCTGAAAATCAGTTATCTTTATGTATTACATTATTGTCCTGTTCCTTCTACAGTTATCTTCAGAGTAAAATGTAGAAGGCTGTGTAACTTTATCTTTCAACAAACCTTTGAAGTAGCTTTGGTGGGGATAGTGGAACCTGAGTGGATAGTGGAACCTAGTCAACAGTCAGCTTGCAGCCTCTCTTTCTGTAATACACCACATTTGAACTCTTTATTAGAATATATATATAATTTTATAAAACTACAATGCTCTGTGTTTGAACCACTTTGGCGTATTCTTCTTTTTCCACAGAGTTTCTCTGAACAAGAGCAAGATAAGAATATTTTACCCCAAACATCTTCTGCTTTCCTGACTTGCAGTTCCTTGTCTACCTCCTCACCAGCATGCAGGTTCCCACCTATCTCACCGCCAGTTCTCATCCCTTGTAACAAACTCCAAAGTCAAGTGCGATTCTCTGTTTCCCATGTTACCGGCCCATCTTCTTTAGAAGAGCAGGGTACTATTGCTACACAGGAGCACATAAAGAAAGAGTTCGCCGTAAATATACCTGAACCTACTGAGGAAGAACCCAAACCAACTGAGTCAATAAGGAGAAGCCAGCAGTTTGCATCAAGGAGAAGTTCTTTGCGTAGGAGAAGCAGTGCTATGGATGCTATTCACTCCAGAAGACGAAGTGGTGCTTCTGAAGCCAACTTGATAGGTTTGTTGTAAAATGGTTTCTGTTACTACCGGTTTTATAAAAAGGCGAGTGAATAACACTGAACATATAGTATTTGGTAGGAGTATGAAAATATTATGGCAATATCTCATTTTACAAATCTTGTGAAATATTGCATAGCAAATGCAATTTAAGAATAACAATGACTGACATGAGTTCTTTTGCACAATTGTCATTCCAGTTGCAAAGTCTTGGGCAGAAGTAGTGAAACAGGGTGTCCCAAAACCCTGTGTAAGGTCTACAAAATGTAGTCTTCAAAGATTGACCAAGAAAGTACTTGCAAAACCATCAAAGGTATGTCAGTATGTAATCCCAGAGATTCAGAGTTCATAGTTTCGAATTTCTATTGGCCAAGTATGTCTATGCATGGGATTATGGATATCTGTTCCATTGGGATGACCAACTTTTGGAAAACGAAATGAAACTGAATTGCAGTGAGTACATCAGTGGTAGGAATGTGAGGCACATTGGTTTGTAAAATGCGTTTAAAATTATGCTAGAGGCAACAATTGATCAATTCTGCTACTTTTCATAAAAATCTATTGCCTTTTTGAGACAGAAAAGGATAGAATGAATGGTTGTGACTTCTCTGGAGCAGCTTTTAATCCTGCATATAGAACACTGCATGCATGGAATATGACTATGAATTTGCCTAAAGGCAGAAATACAATAATGTTGAAAATCCATTTTAAGCCATACTGCTTCAAGGCCTGTAGGTTAAGCAAAGCAGCTAAATGACTTGTAAAACAAAATGTGCTTTCAGACAATTTCCTTGCAATTACTGTCTTGGAAGTAGAACAGGTGCTTCTGGAATGCTTGCACACAAGTTTGCATGGGCTGCTTCTAGTAGGTTGAGGGGAGCAGAAGCTACATATAAGTCTCATAGCTTCCGCAGCAAAGAAGTAGAATGGAATGTTTTTCCAGTACCTTCCATGATCACACAGTTGTTCTACTTGTTATGAAATACTTGCAGATTATGAATTGTTTTATTACTTTAGGTGTCAAACTACAGTTACACCCTGTTGCATACATGCTGGGTTTGTGATATAATGGTTAAGTGTATGAAAAAGAATCAGGAACCTTCAATTCATTGAGGGGAAAACATGACGGTTATCAAACAGCCACAAAGATGAAGGCCTGATGTTTGTTGCTATTGAGTAGCAGAAGGTTTTGAACTGTGAAAGCAACATAAAATATTGCTAGAATCTGGAGATGCTTCTTGCTACTATCTTAAATTTTATTTTTAAGGAAAGATTCATTTACAGAGAAGAGGGACAAAGGCAGTGCAGATCCTAGAAGGTGCTTGTGAGAACATCCAGCCTAACCAGGTCTTGACTGCTGGTAGTAAAAGTTTAACTTTCCTTAAAGTCCTATCCTTCACTGGAATGTAGTGCTCTAACAAGGGTCTTGTTAAATACATGCTTTTTAGCTTGATTCTGGTGATCATGCACAACCTGAAAAGACAGCATCTTTGAAATAAATAGAAGGCACTAGACATTTTCATGAACATTAGAGTTCAGTTGGGCTTTTTATCAGATGGTAAAGATTTTCATGTGTATTCTGTTTTCTAGAACAATGTTTTCACATTAAAAACACCAGTGAGAAAAGTCAAAGGTCATTTTACCACAGGTCACGTAAATTCTCCAGCTCCAATTGTGATTGGAAAAGCTCATACCAGGTTGGTGAATGTGGCTGCACAAGTTCCTAAAGTGATGCTCAGCTGTCCTTTGAAGCAACATTGTGACTTAGATGAAAGTTTTACAGGTAAACTATTTTGGTTTTTTATTCTAAAAATACACAAGTTCACTTGTTATGTGTGTAAAGTTGTAGGACTGCTGTAGAATTTTGGTACAGTATCATTAATTTTTTGTTTGTTACAGTGGTTAAAAGAAAAGCTATCTAGAACTCTAAAATTGCCTGTGGGTTCTAGATGGCTTGTTAACAACCCACTCTTGCTGTGTTCACATATAATGAGAAACTACGCCTTTATGACTTGAATATTCAATATAGGGTTCGTCACTGACAAGGAGCCCTGTGAGGAAATTCACCTTTTGTTGCTCCTTGTTATAAATGAGGCTATACTCTGAGACAGAAAAAGCTAAGGAATAGGAATTACCTGCACTTCCGGGCACATTCATTATCACATTATTTCTTTGTAATTGTTGCAATCTAAAATATTTTTCTAGATGTTTTCTAGGGATTTTTCTCAGATGTTATTTAGTCCTACACTTATCCCAGATTAACCTAATAAGGTAAAACTAGTTTGTAGAGTTTCAATATAATACTTGCAGGAAAGTGTGAGAATCAAATATTCAGTGATATTTATCATTGCTAATTTACCAGCTCCTGATTTTGCCAACAGATGGCACTATGATATTGTTTAAAAGGCAGGTCACTGCCTGAATCAAGTGTGATAAAGGGTATTTTCTGATATAATTGACCATGTTTTTGTAACAAACAGATAGTTGTTTTTTCTAATACTAGTTTAAAATTTCCCGCAAAACACAAAGTTCTGTGTGTGCATTTACTTTATTAAAGTCTCAATGTACTTGTTTATCTTGTACTTGATGGATTTTGGTATCTTCTTGGCATTTTGGCATCCCCTTGATATTTCATTTCCCTAATCTACATGAGTGTAGCCCAAAAACCATGATGAAAAAGTAGCAGTTTGCTACAAGCAGGGTTTTTGGTGGAAGCACACGTGTTAGCCTATAACATGGAGATTAGTGGATGTACTACAGTTGTGTGGGATACCAGTGCAATTAATTCAAATTTAATGTCTAAGGAGGTTGTATTTACTTTTTTGTCCAGTCATCTGTAACATGTAAATGAGTTTTTAATGACTGGAAGGAGGATTTGATACCTTATCAAGAATTCTTACATGTTTCATAGCTTGATAGATAAGTTTAGTTTTTGTGACTGTAAATTGACATGAGCATTAATGCCTGAAAATCTTGGTGCTATGTTTTCCTTCTGTGGACCAATCAATATTTCTTTATAGTTGAATATCCCGTGTTTGCAACTGTGCACAAAGTAAATAAGTATTAAGTAAACTTTAAATGATGTTTGCAGGGATGGCTGAAATGTTCAACACTTCACTGAATGGAAAGCCAAAAAGCTCTCTTTCTCATGCTCAAAGAATGAAGATGGCAGAATCAGATGTTACTTCAAAAATGCACACTTCAGAAGAATCTGGTATTCATATCTTGTATAAACCCCTGGTGTTAGCTGTCAGGTGTTGACATAATTTATTGACGTAACCTCATATGAAAATCAGAGAAAGTTGTAGTGGATCAAACTTGGCATACCAGGCTAGCCAGTCCTGCCCATTAGAGCCTTGGACAAAGAACCTAGCACCCCATTCCCTTATAAAGGAGAAGTGCATGAACATGGCTTACCTTGAGATTGCAGCTCCTTAAGTCCACCCTTTTCAAGTCATGTCAAGTCAAGTCTACTTTGCTTCTTCAGTGAAAGAGTGATGCAGTTGAGTGCTTAGCCAGTATACTTCAACACTGGGACTTTGCCAGCTCCTGTGTTCCTTACATGCAGAATGTAAAGGAGGAGCAAAGCTGGTGCCCCAGATGGTTTGCTATAAATGGGCTTTCTCTTGCCAGGACAACTCAATGCAGAATGAAGCTGACTTCCCAGCCAAGGAACAGGTTGGAGAAGCAATGTTTCAGCTAAGGATCCTGTGCTTTGAAGACAGTATCCAGGAAGTAGACACTGGGCTTTACCCAGCCTCCTGAGGAAAATATTTAGTCTCTGAAAACTCAGAGTTCTGTCTAAAACTATTCATGCATGTGTCAGTCTGCACCATTGTTATTTCTTGAGGCTATCTTACAGTAGGCATTAATATGCCATGCCCCTCAAGTTTTAGCAAGAAAAATCACTTCACTTGGTCATTTGTGCTCAATGAAATACGTGCTTCCTGATCTTGGCAACTTGTCTTCATTGTTTTGCAACTAAACTGTGTCTATACTGGATTCGTAACACATTTTCAGCTCACAAATGCCTTTGTGTAGGGTGAAAACTTGCACAGAAGTTTAATTCATTTTCCAGAACTGTTTGTCACAACTGCCACCTCCAGTGTTTCATATTTCCACAAAAAATATGGAAACTATCAGAAAGAACTGTTTTAATGTCTCAAGCTACCCTACTTCCCCCAATCTACAAGTTTTTGCTAATCTTAGTATGCAGCTCTTGCAAAGAGACTGTCTTAATACTTGTTTTATTAAAAAATAATAAAACAATAGAGAAAAGACAGGTGGAATAGGATTAGCCAACATGCCTAGCTGTTATCAGCCATAACATAGAGCGTGTTCCTTACTGCCAAACTATGCTTCAGTCATATGATCTCAGTGAGACATCAGGAGAAATAGCAAAGGCTCTAGGTCTGCCTCCTGTTTAAATCTGTTTCGTTTTAAACATCACAATTGCGCAAAACTGTTCACCCACCCTTGGAATATGAACCAATCACTGTTGCTGCGGAAATGGCTTGATGCAAAGTCATTTGGGGCAAGGCAAATCAAAGATCATCAGCCAAATCTCATTATTACTGGCAGAAGAAATTAGCATTTAAATTGGAATGCTAAGGGCAGTATAGAATATATACCTGATATCCCTGCTAAGTAACAATCTAATTTCATTTAGGGAGATCAGGAAGGCAGACTGAAAGATGAAGGAAGTAAACTTTTGCACAATTAATGTAGTTTCATACAATTGGCAGGTCTTCAAATGGAATTGAGGCAGGTGCACTAAATGGAAACTCCTGAACCGATGTCACGCCAAATTTTTGTACGAGTATCACACATGTCTTCAAAGATGATCATAATGATAAAAATTTGATAATACAAGTTTATTTATTTATTTAAACCATTTCTATGCCGCCCCATTCGCAAAATGCCTCAGGGCAGCTTACAATATAAATAAACAATTATATAATTAGACTTAAAAATCCGGAAACATCTCAGTATGTACATAAAAAACCCAATAAATACAATCAATAAATTAACAATTAAAATAACTTTTAAATAAATAGGTCTTGGCCTGGCACCGAAAAACCAAATAATGACGGCGCCAGGCGGACCTCTCTGGGGAGCGCATTCCATAGGTGGGGTGCCACCACAGAGAAGGCCCTCCTCCGGGTACTCACCCTCCTAATATCTTTCACGGAGGGTTCCCAGAGAAGGGCCTCTGCTGCCGATCTCAAGGGGCAGGAGGGCATATATGGACGCAAACGCTCCATTAGATAACCAGGTACCAAGCCGTTGAGGGCTTTATAGGTGATAACCAACACCTTGAATTGGGCCCAGACTTCAACGGGAAGCCAGTGAAGCTGACGGAGAACTGGGGTTATATGAGAACAACGCCCAGTCCCCGTCAGCAACCTGGCAGCTCTGTTTTGCACCAATTATGTAATGGTTTTGTTAAAAACAATGGCAAGAGTCTGTAACAGGCAAATAAGAAACTTTTTTATTACAAAGTTAAACCATTGGTCTGCCTAGCTCATACTAACTAGGTTCATGCTTCATGGTAACCTGTCATGTGTAAGTAGCTATGGTTAGTTGGGTTGTATAAACCTGGAGTGCTTCCGAAAGGGTGGTTTCTTTTGGAACAAGCCACCCTACCACCCTATGACTTGGTGTAGGGTTGTTGGGGTTGTGATGTCATCTCAATACACTTATTTCCATTTGGGTCTGTGAAGTGGCAAGTGAGCCTGGCAAAATCTGTCAGTCTTGCTGGGGCCACTGGTACTTTGCTCAGTCTTCACTGCAGTGATTATCATCACTGGCTCAATCTTCTCCACTGCAATTGCAATTCCAACCAAGCAGCACATTGGAAAGATCATAACTGGTTCACCTCTTTGAGCCAGAAATGTGCACAAATGTTTTGCAAGAGCTTCACATGCATTATTTTGTATTGCTTCCCTTAATACACCTGTTTAAGATAGAAGAATATTAGGATCCCCATACCACAGATGTAGATTGAGTTTAAAGGAAATTGGATTACTGAGGGCCAATTGAAGCAGGAGTTTTAATTAACAGCTCAGTATTAAAAGAACTTAACTTACAGTGGGTTAGATTATTGATTCCTCAAGCGAGCTGTTGTCCACTCTGTAGGTAGTAGCTCTCTCTTGGATGTATAATCAAGCCGTAGTTCCCTTTCTTAAAAAGTCATTTTTTATGTTTCTAATAGGAGATATGTCTATATTGCCTGTCAACTTACCAAACCAACAAATACTTTACAATCAAGATGAGGTATCCCCCTTCCTAAAAGAACTGCCTCAAATTTCCACGCTTGAACAAGATGACTTAGAGATAATTCCCAGAGAAGCAAATACTGTATTAGAAGAATTAGTAAAGGAAAAGAGCTCAG